TAATTCATCCCCACAGTGTATCATCTAATTCATCCCCACAGTGTATCATCTAAATTCATCCCCACAGTGTATCATCTAGTTCATCCCCACAGTGTATCATCTAATTCATCCCCACAGTGTATCATCTAATTTCTCCACATAATGTACAATCTATGTAATTTAACCCAGCAGTGTTTAATCTAATTTCTCCACGCAGTGTATCATCTAATTTATCCACACAATGTATCGTCTTATCCATCCCCACAATATATGATTTAATTCCTTCCCTCAATGCATCATCTACCGCCTCTGAGCGTCACTACATTTAATACCTTTCCCGATTGTGTTTTCTTGAATTTATCATCGAAGTCTTTCCTACTGTGTACAATGTATTTTTTACAATACATAATCTAGTTACTCCCAATTCACCAGGAGCCATACCTGTCTTGCGAGGTCACATTAATTCAATAGCACACCTTTATGTCCAGTAATTACATTTTCGCCACGTGACATACTTTGCTGATATTGATCGTTTTATATATGTCGTAATTAAGTTTGACCCCTCATACATCAATCAGTAGATAGTGCTGTGATTTTATCAATTGAATCAACGCTTGAATGTGATCAAATCTCGAAGTGACCTTTATAAATGACCAAATTGTTACAATTAACAGCGTAAAACCTTGATTGATCTATTTTGATTGTTATACCATGTCGTAAGTTGTTAACATCTAAAAGTACTGTAATCACGAAACGATAAATAATGTGTGACCGAGGGCCAGTATTACTGGTCACATAGACCGCGGTACTGATTATAAGCCTAGGCCTACAATGGATATGTATAAAACACATACAGCGTGACAATGTATCTCTCTATATGTTTGTAACATTAGAGTTACAAAATTGTAGTTAGTGAGATTATACCGGATATAAGTCTTGACGTTCGATTAATTTTACACTTACATTGTTACCTTTCTTCTGTTTATGTTTGTTTATATTCGTTGTTGACAAAATCAGCTCGATTGGTAATGTAACAATCTAGTTTGTTTTATGCTATACATACCGGTATACGATATAGTATAGTGAGATAATGAGACAAGAGATATAAGCTATATTCAATTGCTAAGTTTTACATCCCATCTGGGACCTTAACGTGAAAAGTTCGATTAAATAAAGTAACGCTCGGGTGATCTTTCACTACCTGATCGATTAATGTTAATTGAACGATGTGTACTATCAATGTGTCACCTTTTCAAACCCATTAATGATATGTGAAGTGGAAAAACATAGTAATCCAAACAGATCCAGGTATCGAAAACTGTGCAGGGAAAGTTCACATTTAACCCTGGGTCCTATTAATATTTGAGACAACATGATATGGTCTACAGAGAAATCAATAAACAAAATAATGCTTATAATATCGGGATGAATTATTCACAAATGAATTAAATCAATGATAAGACATCCATTAGGAATTAATAGCAATATAACTTAGTGATCGACTCTCTAAGACTTCAGTATGTTAGGAAGTCAAAATAGAGGTAAGAAACAATGAAAATACTGAGTTTACTTACCTACACACATAATTATCAATGGATTATTTAAAAACAATAATTATGATGAAGTTAAAAAACAGAAATATTATTGGCAAATATACTCCTTTCCCATCAAAATCATGGATATTACTTTCGACAGTTATGAACATTTCACATGAACATTCAGAATGAACATCACTTCCTATATAAAAGTTTGGAAGGTTACATAACGATTTATACATCAATATGGTTTCTACGACAAAATAACATTGATGAATCATAGCATTTTTAGTACCGTGCATACAGATCAGTTCCTGACAAAAAGGGACGTTTAACACCGGACCTTACACAGAACACATATGGTCTACCTTGTTTTAAGAGAGAGACTGTTATAAAGGTGAACTACATTTTTTTCTTTTGTTTTAACCCATCGACAGTATTAACTACAATATTTATCAAATCATCAACGCATAAAGATACTGCATCATCAAAACACAAAATGACGGAATCCGACTCGATTTCAATACGAAAGCATATAACATTTACAGAAGCAGGACTCAGAAGTCACTTCCAATAAGCGTCACATCGTCCGATACCATTCATTCACTCCAGCTGTTCAAGGATAGCATACATATACCATGTTTATCAACCTCAGAGAGATATTAAGAAATCGTTTTAACTTCAGATACGGAAATACATAAAACATGAACTTGCTGTTCATGTATGCAATATAAAACCCAGGAGTTAATTGATATATAAAAAGTATGTCACACAACAGTAAATAAGACCAGTTTAGATTTCCTCCATTTTGACCCCTAGCTTCACAGATGAGTGTGATTCTGTTTTTATGTACTGTATCTTTTACCAAATGTTAGGTAAGTCACATTTGTGTTTCACATTCATCGTTTTATAGACACATATATGATAATTGACAAACACATTTTTAGATGTGTATAGAAGTTGTATCAAATAATCGTTGCCGTCCTTAAATGACAATAGCTGTTGATAGGACGTGAAACAAAACAAAACAAAACAAAACCTTGCCTATTTTTCTATATAGCGAAATCTATCACCGTTTTTTAATCGTATTCTACTATAATAATACCGGGAGGAATTCATCATAAATTCAACACAATACCGATATAAATTCGAATTATATTTAAATATTGATTCAAATTCTACTATAACAACACAGGAATGAAATAACTGAAATAACACTTGAATAAATTCATATTCAACAAAAGGATATACCGGGATCAATTCATATTCTAAAATAATAGTACCGGGATCAATTCATATTCTAAAATAATAGTACCGGGATCAATACTTATTCTAAATAATAATAATACCGGGATCAATTCATATTCTAAAATAATAAAAAATACCGGGATCAATTCATATTCTAAAATGATAATACCGGGATCAATTCATATTCTAAAATAATAGTACCGGGATCAATTCATATTCTAAAATAATAATACCGGGATCAATACTTATTCTAAATAATAATAATACCGGGATCAATTCATATTCTAAAATAATAAAAATAGCGGGATCAATTCATATTCTAAATTGCTAATACCGGGATCAATTCATATTCTAAAATAATAGTACCGGGATCAATTCATATTCTAAAATAATAATACCGGGATCAATACTTATTCTAAATAATAATAATACCGGGATCAATTCATATTCTAAAATAATAATACCGGGATCAATTCATATTCTAAAATAATAGTACTGGGATCAATTCATATTCTAAAATAATAGTACCGGGATCAATTCATATTCTAAAATAATACCACTGGGATCAATTCATCTTCTAAAATAATAATACCGGGATCAATTCATATTCTAAAATAATAGTACCGGGATCAATTCATATTCTAAAATAATAGTACCGGGATCAATTCATATTCTAAAATAAAAATACTGGGATCAATTTGTATCCTTTTTGAAGAATACTGTACTAAATGCATACCTCACTGCAGTTATGTTGTTGACATAACTTCCCTATTTAATATTCGATCGATTTCACTTGAATGATCGAAAAATATATACATTTTCTACTTTGAAAAGTAGCTTGATGTTTATGCCATAGCATTCTACATGCTTAAATTAAGGTGAGAGAACTTCATAAAAGAAGCCTACGAAACAATAGTACGCTTTTCTCCTTCCTAAGCCAATCCGCTTTGCACGAAACACAATGGAATGTACCGCTCAAACTGACAGCGTAAGGTGGTGTCAATTCGAATAGAGTCTCAATTGAAAACTTATACCGCGTACTTATTATATATCCTAAGCATATTGAGAACAGTTGGGTATGTTTGGCACAGGTTTCGTATGAAGGAAAAGTATGCGACTAATTACATTTCATTTCCTTCTTATGCAATAGAAAACAGTTATTGTTAAAATTTACCGAAATGGAACTGGTTTCGAACTGCGAGAAAGTTCCTTTAGTATTCTTTGTTTATCCCAGTTCCAATACATGTATACATTATAACTAGTACTGGTCGAAACTCCTCGCCAGGATAGGTGTCTCTGATGGAGCTGTCTGAAACGATCACTTTATACCTCTGTGTTGTATTATTTGGAGTGTGTCTGACAAATCGCTGTGGACAGTCGTAACTCATATTACCGTTTCATTAGCACAATTGGATTTTGAAAATTTTGACACTTTTCCTCTGGGAGGTGGTGTTATGTATCGATCGCAGTTCCGGTACGTCTCCTGGGCACGGTCTCTACGTTTTGTATTTCCGTTCAGGGTCAGGGGTATGTGTTATTTACCAGTTTCGATTAAAACGTCATCATTAATAATCTGAGCTAAACTTTGCATGTCTTCGGTACAATTATATTACAATTTAGTCAACAATAGAACCATCCTTGAAAAACACCATAAAACGCTCGTTAAGAAAACAGAAGTGGGTCACTGGAGCTATAAACACAAAAAGGTGCAACCAGGCGAAATGCCCAGGAAAGCTGCGACTGAAGGCCAGATTCGATACATTTTTTTCAAAGGATAAAAAGGAGACTTTTGTTTAATGTTCAAGTTTTAAAAGTAGAATTAAAACCACCGGACAGTTTGATGTTGAAATGGTATTTAATTTGCGAAGCTTCTGTCGGGTAATAAATGACGATAATTTTTGAATTGTTAAATAACGGATTTGTGAGCACCACGTGTCGCCTGTCCGTGTTCATCAAGTTCCCGTGTAGTGATGGATACCGCGGTCACACTACTCTTCTACAAGTGACATTGATGTAGCAACTTGAACGTGTTTCAGCTCTTGGAATTAATGGTGTAAATTTCTTCCCGTTCAATCGCGATCACGGTTAAATTCCACCTGACCGTCTAAATTGATTGTGACAGCACTATGGTACATGTTAGAAAACGTCACCAGGAAACCGTTAGATGACCCGGGTTATATACACTATACTATATCCTTTTGTCTCGTAGATAATGAAACCAACATCTTTAACACTAAGGTATCGCTCTGTATTGGTCTTGCAGATACTTTGCCCGAATCTAACACGTTAATCCATTACCATCAATGAAGCACTAATACAAGCTTTGCACTGTCTTAGACCCGGATTTTACAGTTATTTCAGGTGTTTGAAATAGTTTTTAACGAAAAACTTGTTTTTGTACAAGTTATGAATGGCATTAATCATGCTAACCTACCTATAAATCGATGCAATCAGACATGTCAAAAATTCATTGAAAATTAGGAAAAGAAATGCAGACATTGACTATAACGATATTTGTTAAGTTGACCAAACAAATTCCCATATTATCTTTCTGTGTTATTGGGCAAAGATTTTTACAAAAATATGCTGAACTGATGAAAATTACGTTTAATGCAAAATATGATTTGTTTTTTTCTTACGCACAGAGATTTTATTCTCCCTTTAAGACGTAATTCCTCTGCTGTTACGTCAATTATACTGTAACCACAGTTAGAACATTAACAATGGCATATTAATCAAGTGGATGTGTTTAATGTTGTTTATAGCGAATGCCTGTCTCGACAATTAAAGTTATTACCCTTGTTCAAGCGATTCATTTGATCTTGTGATAATGATTAAGTATATTCGATTCACATATTTACTTTTTTCATTTTGGCAACCACAATCACAACTTTTCGCTATCTAAAACTTCTAAGCGTTTGAAATTTAAATTTATGACATTTGATTGTTTCTCTAAAAAAAAGTCATTGTGAATATAGGAGAAATCTCTCTTTTTTAGATAGCAAATAGAGACGTTTGCCGAACTCCAATTATTACTATGCATAATAATTATACCTCTCATTTTCGATATTTTTGACCTTAGTTACCCGATACATATTTGATGTAAATTTGTTTTGTATATCATATGGTCAAAACAAAGCGTGTGTTGTGTTTCTAGTAGCAATTACAAAATGAAAATAGAGATTTGCTATAAAAACCTTATTTTCTTACGATGTACGAATACCTACTGTTGACTTAAAACAAGTCTACCTATACAACAGTCTTCTTGCAGTTATTTAATATAAAATAGCCGCCCCTATTGTTTACTTATACACATTAGTCAATCTGGTGTTTACTCATATAAATATTGTATAAGACTGCCAATGATAATATTCCTAATTATAGCAATGCTTACAATGACAAACAGTATTAATACATGTATATAGCACCCTATCTAATTTACAAAATGACTGTTAAGTGTCTTACAATACTGGAATTATGATCGTTTAAAGCACTTAATTATACAATTGCACATTATTGTTGCTTATAAAACAAAGAGAATTTCTAATCTCGAGACATCACTTCTTTTAAGATACAGAACCAAACCTAAATGGCTGCTCTATAAATTTAACAAGTAGACGTAAAATAGAATTCATTGTGGCGACGATTTCTGGTAGTAGATGGTACATTATTCCACAACGGAATCACTATTTTTGTTCAAAACAACAGTTTCAATAGGTCACAGTGCAAGATTTTGAAACACATCTACAGGCTGGATGACAAACTCCTGCATATAGTGAGGTGTTGTTACAATTAGTTGCTGTATTTTTATATTACAGAGATGCTATTCTAACGCTTCATTCCCCTTTATTTCCAGCACTGCTCTATGCAACAATCTTCTCGAATGTTACGACAATATTTCAGCAGTTCTACGCCAATTTTGCACGTTACCATGACATGTTGAACAGCGTGCGCGACTTCATGAAGTTACATGACGTGCCGAAGATCCTGGGCGAGCGCGTGATGGACTATATTGTGTCCACGTGGGCCATCACCAAGGGTATCGACGCCACTAAGGTAAGACGACTAATAACATGTGATTGTCTTAAAATGTACCCCCTCGAATGATTCGTATACTTTTAAGATCATTACCGGATTTTAGTTTCACCCAAAGGTACATACATCACGTTTGGAATATAATTACAGGTATTTTGCAAAACCGATACTGTAATCACCGTAATGATAATTGTAGGGAGAATGTCTTTGCGTTCTGAGGGAAATTGCCTGATCATACAGGTTCATGCTTTTCCATACAATTAAATATGCAATACAAACTAAAGGAACACATTTGCTACATATTGTTCAGGCCCTTGAAATTTCACAGAAACTCTCCTCTTCATTCATTCCTGTGCTATTGTCTCTTCTATATTGATGACCCTTAAAATATTCAGCAAACAAGTTATCTTTGAGGCTTTGTTTTAGATACTAAAACAATGTCTATGCTATTTGAGATGTCAGCCATCTTAATGTGTTTAAGTTGTTCAGGCACGATCGAAAAGACCATTGATTCAAACATCACAGAAAACAAGATTACAATATATGTGTTTTTGTATGATTCCAGGTATTGAACTACTGTCCAAAAGATATGAAGGCCGATTTGTGTGTTCATCTTAACCGAAAAGTCTTCATGGAGCACCCGGCCTTCCGATTGGCAAGCGATGGTTGCTTGAGAGCGCTGGCCATGCACTTTAACATGACGCACAGTGCCCCGGGTGACCTTATTTTCCACCAGGGCGAAAGCCTGGATGCCTTATGCTTTGTCGTGTCAGGGTCACTGGAGGTCATCCAGGACGACGAGGTGGTTGCAATCTTGAGTACGTGTTTCTGATTTTATTCACGTTTTACAATGTTTCAGCGTATGTAGAAGATCCCATGTATATTACACGCGATAAGAGGATATTGTATGTGGCGTGGTGTCTCCTCGGCATACTTCTCGTCGTCTAGGTGTTCTCTCTCATGTGTTATAGTTAACTGGTGGAACGTCTGTGAAAGTGTAATGTCGTATCTGCTACTTTACCTTCACCTATTAAAAGGATCATAAAATTCAAAACTCAAAAACGATATGTTTTCCTGCATGTTCCACGAGATCACTGGTTTGTGTGACCTCTGCCATGACGTCACGTTATGTTTATTGGGTGACGGTAATGAATTAATACAGCATATTTGCACCATTCACATACTAGCAGCTATACACACGCTATACAGTTTAGTGATCAAAACCAATTTATATATTTTTAAAAAGATGTGATATAAAATGTATAATAAACTGAGACGTCATTTACTCATAAAATTATTTGATGACTTTGTGGAAATACACTGTTTTTAGCATTCATATCCCAGCTTAGAAAGGTACTTAAAATTGTTCACGGCGAATATTGAGAAGTATCAAGTATGCTGATGTCTGCCCGAATGATAATATCGACCATCACAGAAGATAAGTTTGTCCCTGTACATCCTAGTAGAATGATTCAATCATTAACGGAGTATGTTACACGCGATACCCAACATAAACTCGTTATAAATATGATAAAACCTGATACGATGTTTCCGGCGACACCTTTCCACATATGATTTGTCCCGCCACTCTCCAACGACATCTTTCCTCAGATAATGTATTCTCCCCCTTTCTGATGGCGCCATCACAGAAATAGTGGTTCCTTCACCTCCCTAGGACACCTGTCCGAAGGTGGTGTATACTATATCTATATTGTAATCTACTACTTCCTTAGGGCACCTTTCCATGTTATACTCTACTCCTTTACACACCTATCAATGATGTCTTTAAACGTTTTACAATACACCTCTCTGTGATGTTTTCTAACATTTTTTGAGATGACACATGTCCGAAGATCTCTCCAACCAGGACAGATTGTTCGCGGTTACACATATTTCTGTATTACTCTCAGTTGTAAGCCATTCGCGTGTTTCATGACCGCGCTTATTCATATTTCCATAAAATATGTAGTTTAGTATTTAGTATGAAATACATTGGAGACGTGAGGCTTAACAATTCTAGATTTCTGTTTAAATATAAAACAAATAGAGGATTTAATTGGCGTTATGTTTTCTTGTTTCCGCAGGTAAAGGTGACGTATTTGGTGACAACTTTTGGAAAGAGCAGTCGATCGGCCAGTCCACTGCCAATGTGCGCGCTCTCACCTACTGTGACCTCCACACCATCAAAAGGGTGCGGATATTGGAAGTGCTGGAGTTCTACCACGCCTTCGCCAACTCATTCGCCAGGAACCTCACACTCACTTACAATCTCCGCCACAGGGTTGGTATTTATAGTGTGACCAGATGTCTCAAGGGACCGGGCTACTTTCGTGTAGTCGGTCGAATGTAGATCTACACATTTGTACCTAGCGTTCAGGAGTGAATATCATAAAATATAGATGTGCTTCTATTAGAAATCACGAACCAGGAATTGTCTTCATTGTAAACCTAGAGATACAATGTTCACTGTGTCTGTTGTCTCGATGTTATGCACATGTAACAAGACATCGGATTATAAAATATCTTATAAGGAGCATGAATCTGATTCGCGCATATGAATCACATTAAATATAATTGTGTCTTAGTTTCTATTTGTAGAAGCATTTGTAACACAACACGAGTTGATGGTTGGCTAGAAGTTTATAGAAGTTTATTAATCTCAAGCGTTGGGATCGGTCTCTGTCGTTTGTATTAAACGTCCCTAGCACTTCTAGTCTCTTCTCTTCCCATCCCTAGCTTGTCTCCCCTTATCTCCTTTCTAGGTTATACTATGTAATCCTGGATTCACGACTACGAGGTCCATAACAATAAAGTAATAAACATATTTCACATACTCATGTAATAGAACAAAACACCAAATAGTTCATTATATCAGTAATAAATGTACTGACAAGATGCTTTATTTGTATTTTAGTTGATTTTTCGGAAAGTTGCCGATGTGAAAAAAGAGAAAGAATTGGCGGAAAAGAGGAAAAATGACCCCCCACTGGAGTTGTCCAGTGACCATCCAGTCCGTAAGCTAATCTCACGGTTCCGAAAGATAAGTGATGCAAAGGCAATGCAACCAAATAACGATCCCGAGCGCGGACGTATGTCGTCCATGGATATGCCAGAAAGACCACGGAGTTTTACCAGGCTTATCAATGTTTCAGAGGGATCCATAGGAGGCTCGCCTGTCCCGAAAATTGGAGGGGGAGCAACGAAATGGGGGAAAATAATGAACGGGAATGTTCCTTCGGAGGGAACATCCGACAGCAACCAAAACAAGATAAATGTGGAAAAGGAGAAAGAGGATTTACAAACAAAAATTAATGAAGCTCCGAAAGCAACAGTGAAACCATTGTCTAAATGGGGCAAAATGATGGCAAAACCGGAGCCGATAAACGAAGCTCCGGAGGATGATCAGAAATCGAATCTGAAAAAGACTGATTCCACAGATAGTGGTATCCTCCGTAGTACTGTGAAACTAGATCAGCTAGCAGACGACACGGTTAGCGAGGGCCCCCAGACCTTGAGGGAATCAACTTCCGGGGCACTCTCGGTAGCCGAGCGTCAGATGCTGACGTCATTATACGATATAAGATTAGAAATCAAGGAGGAAATAGACGTGTTACACCAGAAAATGTCAAGAATAGATGAACAAATGTCAGAAATTCTTCGGATGTTTTCTCCAAGCTCAACTCCTTGTTCGTCACAAGAGTCGACATACCCAGTGTCGAAAATTACTTCACCGCGTAATACTACTACCAACACCACGGCGAGTGCCGACAACACTCCAAAATCCTCGGTAGAATCTTCGCCGAAACGTCGCGTTTCTGACGTGAACTTTACTTCAAAATCGTCGTCGACATCAAATCCCCGACCGAACTCGCCAGCAAGTGTTAAGTCACGTGATTCGCAATCAAAGACGTCACAGGGCTCTTCCGTAGATTTGTCCAGAGGGTCTCAGAATGTCTCCCGTTCTTCCTCGCCGGCTGGCCGTAGTTCAACCCCTGTAAAGACTTCAAATGTCTCGTCGATGTGTGACGATGTTCTAAAAATGGATGTGAAATCCAAGTTGATAAAGGCTCATCCAAAAGGCCTGCAAAATAAGGCAAGTGTGCGATACAGTTCTCATGTAAGTAACCAGCAAAAGCAACAACATTCCCCACCGAAACATGTTCAACTTAGCAGCTCATCGGAACCCGCCGGATCTGTCAGTGATGATTCGGGGTCCCAACAGTCCCAACCGTCCCAAGGAGCTCATTCATCTCCAGAAGACAGTAAGTCAGGGTCAGAGCGAGGTCAGCAGGTGCTGGCTGGACTTCGGATTCCTTCGGACGATAACAACACGCATATCAAAGATAGAGACTTGGATATCTTATGAGGAATATATGTGTTTTATGCTATGCGGTTGTGGGGTTGTTTGTTATCCTCCGAGACCACCTTGTTACAAATATTCAAGTGATATCTCGCCGACATATTATCAAGGTGATATAAACAGGATTTATTGTGGCGACTGGTGAGGATGTCAGTTTCTGTATAGTACAACAAACTGAAATCCTACAATATAAACACCGGTTTCAATTAATTCAGTGCACTTTGGAACGGAATATTCCCTTCCGATAAATCCAAATATACTTCCGGTTTTTTTCATGTGTTTTATGGATCTGTTTCACACAACAGGGAGAGACTAGCCGGGATTTCCACGCTGCGATCTGACCACACCGTATATGTATATTTATATATCGGGGTCATAGAGGAAAGCAAACATAGAATTATATATCTAATTTACCAGCATAACCTCTAGTTAGGTCGCTGGTGTTTTCAGGGATTGTGGATTTTTATGAGCGTGGAAATGAAAGCAACGAGTCGTTGTTGGCGATTGACACTGGATAATGCAAAACCAAAGATAAAGAGATATGTTGAAATTGTTTTCACTATATATGACTGTTGTTTAATTCATTTTCTTACAAAGAATGGCAGTTTATTTTCACTGCTCGTTTATAAGCTGAATGACATTTGTTGGCCACGCCACCTGGTGGTAGTACAGTGATGGACACTATGTGATAGCTCTCCTGCATTTGCTCACTGTCCAATAGTGAAACGCCCATGTTTCACGTCGATATCATTACGCACGATAATGTACGTTAACTTTGAACCCTGCTTAAGCATTGCGTGTTATTAACGAGCGTATTGAGACAGTTTCGTTTAAGCAATGGATGTATCGCTACATGGCTAGTCGACTGATTCTCACTAACTCTTGTATCGGTACAAGAATTACCGACTAACTGTCACTTACATGTAAATACATGTATTTAGAAGAATACACGAGTTAGCTACAACAAGTCGTTGTAGCTAACTCGTGTATTGGTACAGGATGGCTGACTCTAGCTGTCACTTACTCGTGTATCAGTACAGGAATTGTTGACTAACAGTCNTTATGTTTCACCGTCGATATCATTACGCACGATAATGTACGTTAACTTTGAACCCTGCTTAAGCATTGCGTGTTATTAACGAGCGTATTGAGACAGTTTCGTTTAAGAAATGGATGTATCGCTACATGGCTAGTCGACTGATTCTCACTAATTCTTGTATCGGTACATAAATTACCGACTGATTCTCACTAACTCTTGTATTGGTACAAGCATTACCGACTAACTGTCACTTACATGTGAATGCATGTATTTAGAAGAATACACGAGTTAGCTACAACAAGTCGTTGTAGCTAACTCGTGTATCGGTACAGGAATAGCTGACTCTAGCTGTCACTCGTGTATCAGTACAGGAATCGCTGACTTACTGTCACTTACTCGTGTATCAGTACAGGAATCGCTGACTAACTGTCACTTACTCGTGTATCAGTACAGGAATCGCTGACTAACTGTCACTTACTCGTGTATCAGTACAGGAATCTCTGACTTACTGTCACTTACTCGTGTATCAGTACAGGAATCGCTGAGTTACTGTCACTTACTCGTGTATCAGTACAGAAATCACTGACTTACTGTTACTTACTCGTGTATCAGTACAGAAATCGCTGACTTACTGTCACTTACTCGTGTATTAGTACAGGAATCGCTGACTTACTGTCACTTACCCGTGTATCAGTACAGGAATCGCTGACTAACTGTCACTTACTCGTGTATCAGTACAGGAATCTCTGACTTACTGTTACTTACTCGTGTATCAGTACAGAAATCGCTGACTTACTGTCACTTACTCGTGTATTAGTACAGGAATCGCTGACTTACTGTCACTTACCCGTGTATCAGTACAGGAATCGCTGACTAACAGTCATTTACTCGTGTATCAGGACAGGAATCGCTGACTTACTGTCACTTACTCGGGTATCAGTACAGGAATCGCTGACTTACTGTCACTTACTCATGTATCGGTACAGGAATCGCTGACTTACTGTCACTTACCCGTGTATCAGTACAGGAATCGCTGACTAACTGTCACTTACTCGTGTATCAGTACAGGAATCTCTGACTTACTGTTACTTACTCGTGTATCAGTACAGAAATCGCTGACTTACTGTCACTTACTCGTGTATCGGTTCAGGAATCGCTGACTAACAGTCACTTACTCGTGTATCAGTACAGGAATCGCTGACTTACTGTCACTTACTCGTGTATCAGTACAAGAATTGTTGATCGACAGTCACTAGGTTGTGTATTAGTACAAGGTTTGTCGACTCATCGCCTCCAACTCAACCAGACGTCTGGCTTCGTTATCCTCATGGAATCATTGATTTTCATAGGGAATTTGAATTTTAATCTTGATACATGTTATTTATATTGTATTGCCACTTATCAGGGTGATATTATCATCACCTATGTAATGTCTCCTTTCTCCCGTCAGGAGAATAAAAAGCATTCCACTGCCTTCCAAACCCACGGAACACATCCGCTGAACAGGGTTGTCAGATCTTCGTTAAGTTAGACAACTAATCATTTTAATGCATTTGCCGTTAGGACCCCATATTATACTTTACCATCAATGGCGCGTTTAGTAGTAATATTAGCTATACGCTCTTTCATAGTGTCTAAAGTGATTCAGGTATTGAATGCACGTTACATATTTCGGTGGGAAAAGAGGAAGACTCCGGTTTGGTTAAAAACAAGAAGTCTAGTGATCGCCACATGCATCAAGGCAGGAACTGACCACTCGGGTATAGACAGTGACGCTATTATTCGTGTTTGTAAATGACATTTGAGTATTCGCTTAGACATGCGTGTGGTGGACGCCGTACACGGTTCCCCTAGTTGTAGACGTACCAGAGCAAGCGGACCAGCATAGCTAGGATAGGGACTTAAATTATCTGATGAACAATAACCAAAGAACAAAAAAAGATAGAGACTAATAAAAGTAGGATACCAATCAATTAATGAAATAGTTATGATGACAAATTGCCAACCGGCCTACCTCGCCACCACGTTTTAGCACCAAGCGTTTACTGGTTACGTCATCACTAAATCACGGTACTATTACTGGGCTACTTTACTAAGATTGTATTTTATTAAGATGCCGGGGTTACTTTATTAAGATTAAACTTTATTAAAATTATGGGGTTACTTTATTAAGATTAAACTTTATTAGGATTATGGGGTTACTTTATTAAGATCACTCGGTTACTTTATTAAGATTAAACTTTATTAAGATTACGGGGTTACTTTATTAAGATTAAACTTTATTAAGATTACGGGGTTACTTTATTAAGATTAAACTTTATTAAGATTACGGGGTTACTTTATTAAGATTAAACTTTATTAAGATTATGGGGTTACTTTATTAAGATTAAATTTTATTAAGATTATGGGGTTACTTTATTAAGATTAAACTTTATTAAGATTTTGGGGTTACTTTATTAAGATTACTGAGTTACTTTACTTAGATTACTGGGCTACTTTATAAAGATTACTGGGTTAATTCATTTAGATAACTAGGCTTCTTTATTAAGACACCCCCCACGATAAACATTCAGACATTGGATATAGTATAGTATCCAGCAGTTCACCTCTAGGTAACAAATCGAATGCATCCGAATATTTGTTGCAATACCACCACTAAAATATGGAAATTCTTAATTCAGAATGATTGAATGCTTGATATTCTCTTAGATTTCCAACAGCTCAAATTTGTCTCAAGACTCAAATATTGATAAGAGTTTGAAGACAACATGACTTTGAGCGTAATTGTGAATTCATATTTTGATAAAGAGTTAATTGATATCACTTGTTGAGAAACAATAACTTTTTCTTGTTAGAAATAAGAATCCATTGTCACACAACGCCTACTTATCACAGTGCATTTCTTCACGTGTCACTGACCGTTTCAAATGGTCAGATATACGGTTTCAAGTATGTTCAACTTATAACAGGGAATTTCGCACTTTGAGCGAAAATCGTAGAAAACTGTGAAGAAAGAATTGATATCTCTACATTGATAATTTTCCTGATGAAGCACACTTCCTACGAAAATGGTAAACTGTAAATCCCACGCTTCGTTTGCTTTGAACTAAAATCAGGCTAGCGTTAGTTATTGTTGATACAGATGTTCAACAAGTACCAATCAATTTATAGTATTACGACAAACTGCCCAGTGCGCCTTTACAACTGATAGTGTAACATCCCTTACAGTCGCCTCCTTGTGATATGTACCTTCCTATGTCTCATTCAAGCTGTTACGTTAAAGGTACAGACAAGTAAATCGTTTCGGGTTTTCTGTCACACATATGGTTATAATTTGAGTATGTAAACAGAAAACCCGAACGTTTTACACATGGGAGGTGGTAAATAAACATTATTTGCAATCAAAAGCATCTTAAACAGAACTGTATTTTTTAAACGATAATTTGTTTTTGCATTTATTAATGAGCATTGATAATTCTTGTTATTACAATCTATTCTTGTTATTGGATTTTTAATAAAATTACTAAAGTAATGAAATGAAGTAATGAAGTGATTTGTTTTACTTCACTTTAGTTAAAATTTGTTCATTTTATTTTCACATTGCATAATCAAGCAATTACTTCAAATAGGACTTTGTTCACCTAGGTGTTTAGGTAGGTTTTATATTGCATATTTGCTATTATGTGATTTCTGCGCACGCGTAACGTCCTACTTGGCTCCGCCCCTCACGTCACGTAACCACACCTACACATCCCGGGGGCGGCGCCGACATTGTAACTATAGGAACCACAGCTCACTATGTCTGGACACAGTTCCATGTGATATTTTCATTTCATCATTGTATTGGTATAATATTATATTTCACATAGAGTCTTTCACTCCGGTATTCCATCCAAGTGTTTTGTTGTTTTTTAATCTTGTTTCCCCCTCACATGTAATATATTAACTGTTTATAACATTGTTACTG